TTCCCAATCCTGCTCCAGTTCTATTAGGGGCCACGGATTTCCCAGGCCCTCCCCAAGTACACATCACTGTACTTCCACTTTCCTCTCTGTTTCAGCAGACAGCTCTGTTCCCTGGTCTTTTCAAACTTTGATTTGCACTGGTTTTCAGGAAGGCCAGGTATAGACTCCTGAATAAAAGCCCTGGCTCCCTGAAAGACAGGACACAAGGCATCATGCTCTCCAAGAACACAGAAGCTAGAAGGAATCAAATCTTAGAGACTGGCTTGCCTGATTCACTCACTTATTAACCCCGCCCGCATCCGGGATCCCCACTTACAACTCCCCCTCCTTTCACAGGAGGACTAACATGACTCTTAACACAAATCAGTGGTTACATTTTCTTTGGAGACCAGAATCTTTAAAGTCAATATAGATTAAAATAATTCCTCTTATGATTTACAGAACCTCACAGTTAACAAAGCCCTTTTAGAATCTCAGACCTTTAAAGCAATAAGGACACTATCCAAAAGTTTCCAAACTCTATTCCATAGGTTTTGAGCTTCCAGAACTCCTTTGTCTTTATACTAATCTGGGGATTAGCTACGTGCCTTTACAGTCTTTTTTATTTTTGATGAACTCACATTGCCATTTAGCTTTTCGTATTTTTGTCCTAATGGGACAAACTCCTAAATGGGACGACTGGGACTGACAGTGCTGTGACTATTAAAAAAAAAAAACTAAATAAATGTATTAATTAAAGGGTGCTCTTTCAGAAATGTTTTTGAGGTCAGGTTAAGCTTAGCTTTCTGCTGCTCATTGTGGTGATTAGTCGCCAATGTTTCACTGGCAAATCCACTGCCATCTCTCATCTCACCCCAGGTAGGGTAAGGGTATGTTACGTAGAAGTCCCAGCATTTTAGGGGACTTCTATTTGTAGCTCTGTATCCTTGTTACTGTTATGGGAGGTCAACCTTCTAAACTCAGCTCAATGACTGGTGATTCCTTGGTCCCAGGGCTTAATAAGAACCTGAAGCCAAGGTGGGAAAAGTTCCAGGAATCGCCCCTGTTCTCTTCTCAGATGAGCCCAATCTCCTCGGCCTGGGCTACCAACCTCTCTTCCCTACAAACATTCTCTGCAGCTCGAAGGGTCTTTCCTAGAACAGGCCTACCTACCACACCACTGCCTCCTCTCCCCGCCGCACACCTCATGGGAGATTTTGCCTCTTCCGGTAAAAAAAGACTACAGACTGGGGCAAGGTTACAGTCAATCTCAGGTCCCTGATAAGGAACAGTTGCAGGGTCTGGATTTACTTTGAATTAGTAAAGTTACAGGCTTCTACAACAAGGAATGGCCAGAGATCATAAAACTAATCCTTTATCCCCATCTAAGGGAGCCATGGTAGTGGGAGCCTTCTCCATTCATCAAAATTCCAGGGAAGGAGACTCAATGACCTTCCTCTTCTCATATTCTTCTAGTATCATCACCCAACCCTGACCACAGGAAAGGTATCCCTTCCTTCTAACCGCATGCACTTCTGCAACAAAACAGCCTGTTCACTGTGGTTAAATCCTTCAAAACAACTGAAAGATCTTTCAATCACTCTGAATTTATTTTGGGCTAGTTCAGAAAGTAGTGCATGAAGCTAAATCAAATCCATGACTGAACTACCTAAATTTATATAGTTTTACAGTTTAGAAAGCAATTTGAAATATATTATCCTATTTGATTTGCTTCTTTCAACAGCCCTGTGAAAGAGATGGAATAAATGACACAATCCCCAAATGACATGCTATATGAAAATGCCTGTGCACTGGAAAGCATTTCATATAAATGAATTATTGCTTTACATATGAGGAAACCAGAGGAGGCATGTGACTTGCCCAAGGTCACATAGTTAAGGGGAATGCCAGGGTTCAAACCAAGAACTCTCAGTTTAAATCCAGTACTTCTGTTTCAGTCCTCACAGAGCTAACTAACTCTGTACAGAGAAAAGCCATTTTATGGATGCAAAGTCCTAACGTGTTTGGCCGTCTCAAAAACATGTGCCATGGAGAACTGAGCAAATGGATATAGACGGCTTAGCAAAACTCATTACCATTCCTGCAAAAATAATTCACTATTATTATCTCTGCTTGCAATATCAAACACATTTTCAGAAACTCTTGAGAAGAATATATATTAATGGGAAATAAATTGTCCATGGACAAACCTGACAGGGACCTCAACTGCTACACTTAAGCCCATCTTTCAGTAACAAATGGTTAACATTAAAGGTTAAAGATGTTGCAAATACTTCATGTTTCTATGGACCCAGGAGTCACTGTCCAAGAGGGGGTTAAAGACACTGATGAATAAATATTCCAAAGCCCTCCTTACTTTGAGCCACAATCTTTCTCCATATACATGGCCCTCTGTCATGTTGTTTATCTCCTAGGAAATATACTCCACTACAGAAACCTCCTCTAATTGACTTTACTTAGAATGCAGCTGAAATTAACACATGACTGTTGAAACAATTTGAAATGGAAAAATTTATACTTGCAGACATGTTCATTCATTTGCCTAATATTTACTGAGCACTTTACCCCATGCAAGGCACTGAGCTAGGCACACAGGATAGGACGTGAGCAAACCAAAAAGCCTTTTGGAGCTTACAGTCTGGTGTCGCTTTGTGCGGTCTTCAGGAATCTTACACCTTTCCTGATTCCCCAGTTAGACTGCATGCTCTTTGTGAGAAAAAACTGCATACTTTAACTTCCTAAAACACTCTTATAGCCCCTTACACCAGCCTGTCTACACAGCAAATTGATGAGCTAATAGCAAATTTTTGACTCCGCAAAGTTGGAGTGTTTCATTCCACTCACTCCTTCCAGTAATGGTGTAAAATTGTGAATTAACTAAAATCCATAGGTTCTTGAACCTGCAATGTCAAAAGGTCTGACAGAATAAGCCTACAGCTAAAGGGTAAGTTCCAGTACAACTGGAGATATCTAGCAGGGCAAGCTCCAGAAGTGACCCTCTAATGGGGAAGAGAAAGGGGGAAGGGGTAGAGGTGAGGAGTGCTCTCACCCTACAAAGCTGCATTATCCCACAGGAGAAAAAGGTGCTTTAACTATAGAAATTATAAGCATGATTCCTAAGATGTTAATAAAATGTGCAGGGGAATGCCAAAAAGCATTTATTCTACTGCTAAAGACAATAAAACAGTGCCCCCCACATTCCACAGACCCAGTACACAAACCTAGTTCGAGAGGGTGGGGCAATGAAATGAGAAACAGGACCTCCATTTCGTCCAGATTCTGCCACTAGTCATGCAAGATGGCACTGCTCAAGCCATGCATCCTCTCTGAGGCTCAAAATACCCCTTCTACAAAATGGGAATAACAAATACCGTGAGGCTCCAATGAGATCTCTCCCTAAGCAAGCACTTAGGAGAATGTACTGTGCTGTACAAATCCTGAGAAAACCGAGGACATGCAAACTTGGCGGAGGAGCATCTCACATCGGCCCAGAAACCCTCACTGCCTTCCTGCTTGCACCCCCCAAGACCTAGGTGTTCATCTTCTCACTCCTTGAAGAGTTTGCCATCCAAATCTCAAAACAGCAAGTGCACTGATACCCAAACTCCAAGAGGATGAAAAGAGAAGGGCGGCCATGTAACCATTTCAACTCCTTGCCTTGACAGGCCTCAGTTCTCCCTTTATAAGAGTCAAGTGACACACAAGCCAACAAAAAGGGGAAGGGATGGAGGTCTGAACCAGCCTTTATGCCCTTTGTGGCTGTCCGCCTTATCCTCTCTGATGCCGAATCTAAACAGGACTGAGGCAAGACAGAGATTAGTGCTGGGGAGAGAGAGATTATATGCATTTTAGATCACATTCCACAGCCAAAGAAAAATTATTATTAGCATGGCTAATCAGAGGTTAACTGGACAGGGAGAAGGCAAGTCCTCCCTTGCAAATATTCTTCCCTATCTCTCCAGTAACATTTTTTCCAAACTCGGCCTTTCATTTGTGTGTTCAGTCCTCCCACCACCCATCCATCCAGTTAGGATGTGTGCAGCACCACAAAACAACCCTCCCTCAAGATTCTCAAGGAGAAAGGCTGGGAAGGGGGAGGGGAGAGAGGGAAAAGGCAGACACCTTACAAAGTTGTAAACTGCAGTGCTACCCGTAGTGGGGAGGCTGGGCAGACTCTGGGGGGAGGGGCATCCATGCTATGACTCTAAGGGCCAGTCAGTGCCTCTGCTCTGCAGGCCTAAGAGCCCAAAACAGCTCCTTCCGGCTCTGGGCAGAGGGAAGGCCCATTTTTGCGGCGTCAAGCTTATTAGAAACGGCTTGGAAGATTAAACTTGGAGCATCACACGGTTGGCAGATCTCAAGATAAACCCTAAACTTGCAGAAGAAATTCTAATGTGACTTAGGCATCTGGGGGCCATTATCAACCACTGGCGAAAGTCTAGACCTGAACGAGTGCAAAGGGTGTTTCTGTCTCATCATTCAGGCCAAGAATATCCTCCTCATTCAAGAAATGGGATCCATCCCATCACCAAGCCGCGCCATTCCATAACCAGCCCCGTGGGGGCCCAATCCCCGGCCCAGGCCCTTCCCCCAGCAGCTCCTACACCTAAAGCCAGTCTCAATCCACCCTTGGGGATTCACATGACCAGACTCGTGCCCGCCTTCCATCCCCTACACTGGCAAGTTGGGGACTCAAATTCGGCCTCCAGCTGGGCAAAAGTCTAAGGCGGCTGGAAGCATTTTCCCCTTTCCCCACTCCAGGCTTCACTGTCTACTGCTCATATTAAAAAAAAACACTGAATCAGGAGGTAATGTTTTTAACATGGACACACACAGAGGGAACATAAACACAGATGCCCAGTCCCCAGAGACCAATGCTCCTGCCCCATCAGTGTCCACAGCCCACCAAGATCCTTTTGCAACCTTTCCTCAAAATGCAACCCCCCCCCGCAACCAAGTCTTTCCTTAAGTATTGAAAACGACATTATTAGCAAACCTACCTGTCTATACTCTGGGGTAACCTTACATTCATGGTTTCTCAGTGTCTCCGAGGTTCCAGAATCCTGTAGTTTTGATGTCTTGATCAGAACTGAATTGTTTGCAATTTTTAAGAAACGTGAGAGGGTCTCCCAATTTGAAGAGTGAACCCGTTTTCCTCCAGCTCTCAGGATCCTGGTAACTGAAGCTCCATTCTACTTCTACCAGTTAACATGGTCTCTTTTCTTAGCCCCCTTTTCCTTCCCTCCTCTTAGAAAAAAAAAAAGAAAAAGAGGAAAAACCACGACCTTCTTAGAAACCAAAAACCCAACCACAAATCACTTCAAGGTTAGCGCTATGGGCTAAAAAAAATGAATCACAGAAAGAATGTGCCTTCAAAATATCAGTCTTCACTGCAAAATACAGATAAAACCCATCCTTTTAATCCAGTTTTCCCAGCTGTCCTTGTTTGGCAAGAGAGCCTCAAGCTCCAAAGGAGGGGGGGGTAATTCTATGGTTTCCAATGCTTAAGAGGACAACAGATATATTTGAGGAAAGAAAGAATGAAAAAAAAAAAAGAATAAATCCGAGTTGGCACTTGGAAAAAAAAAAAATCTTCCAGCTGATCTGCACAGTAAAAAAATAAATAAATAAAACCATACAATAATAGTATGTACACAACAGCACTCCTTCCAAGTCCACTGCAACCCTGGGAACCAAAATTATGAATTTCCTTTAAAAAAAAAAAAGCTTTTACATGAAAGGTTTTGAAATTCTTAAATGAGCCAAACGCACCCTCCAAAAAAAAATCACCTGAAATGCAATGCTTTTTACCTTTAAAATGGTAGCAATAAGCACAAACCAGAGAAAAATCTCTGAAAATATTTTCTCCTTTCCTTTTTCCTCTAAACTTGCAGGTTTCTCCACCTACCCCAGCCCGATTCTCAGACCCAGCCAAGCTTCGGCCTTTTTCTGAAAGACAATTTCCTGAGTGAGTTCTGCTGTTTTGCTCCTTCACATCCAGGCTCCGAAAATTTCTCTTGCTTCAGCCTCCATGAAAAGGAGATTTCGCTTCCTCGCCTTCCCCCTCGCCTCCCTCTCGCCCGGCCAGAAAAACGGCTCCCTTATTAATAGTTTGGGTTGTTATTGCGGATCGGAGTCCGGGGCGGGATTGTCCTCCACACCAGAAAATCCGCTCGCTGGCTTCTCCCGGCCTCTCCTCCGCCCTCTCCGCGCCTTGCCCGACCTCGCAGGCAGGAGCCCACCGCGCCCCGCGCAGGACCGCCGGCGGCCTCCGGCTCCCGGCCCCGCTCGCCCCACGCCCGGCCGCCGGGCTCGGCCTCCGCGGCCGCGGGACTCCGGGCTCGGGGCTGGCAGGGAAGGCGGCGGCGGCGCGCCGGCACGGGCGGGCGTCCGGCTCCCGGCGTCGCGGCCGCGCTCGCCTCCTTCCGGGCCCCTTCCCCCCCGGCTCGCCGCTCGCTCGGGCGCAGGCCCGGCCGGCCGCCCCCTCCCCGCGCCGCCCGCGCTCCTCCTTCCCTGCGAGCCTTTCTCCTTCCCTCGCTCCGGCGGGGGGCGGGGCCGCAGGCTCCTCCTCCTCCGCGCGGCGCGGCCCGCCGGCCCTTCCCTCGCGCCGCCGCCGGCCGGGGGCGCCGGGGGCCGGCCAGCCGCCCTTCCCTCCCTCGGGTCCCGGGGCCACGGCCCCTCCCCGGGCCCCGCCGCGACCCCGCGCCGCCGCCCCTCGGCCCCGCTCCCGCCGGGCCTGCCCGTCGGCGCGGCCTAGCTGCTCCCGGGCTTGGCGGGATCCCCGGCTTTTCCCGGCCCTGCCCGCCGGCGACCCCTCGGCTGCGAACGCCCGTTACCGCCCTACGCCTGCGACCCGACCGTTGTGCCTCCCCCGACCCCTCCCCACCGGCGCGGGTCTTCCGTCTTGGCGTCCCCCAGCATCACCCCTGCGCTCCCACCGCCGCTGCTCACCCACTTTCCACCTCTTCTCATCTTTTTCAAAAATTTGTCGCGGCCTCCTTGCTGGGCATCAGGAGCTCTTTTTAACTCTTTCCTCCCTTTTCTGCGATGCTCCCAATTCTAACACCCACCGACACTGGGGGAAGAGACCCTTCGCTCTAACCCCTTCGGTTGGTTTGGGCATCTTAATACCAGGCCGTGTAAAGTGTTTTTGAATTCGATGGAAAAGCCTTTCAAGGACAATTGTATTTTCATAACCCCCTCTCGTAAAATCACAGTTTCTAAATCTTTCCAAGTAACATGACATGAGTCAGAAGATCCCAAAGCGGTATGGGTAAGAATAATTAAGATAAAAAGGAAACTTGCTCATTAGGACTGGGGAGTGAACTTAGTTCTCTTGCCTAGGTAAATGGTGCTGTAAAATACCGTGCAGACTGTCGTGTGCATATGGTTCCCCTCGACGCCACATTGATTGTTCTTGGGGGAAATACATGTATAGATATTTACCCACAAACATCCATGGCAGTATAGAAGCGCTGAGTGACCCCAACGATATTAGAAGTGGCAGGTTTGCAAATACCAAGAGGAAAAAAACTATTAAGCATGAGTTGAGGACTTTAAATGCACGGATCCAGGAGCGTCCCCTAAGCTACACCAGGTATAAATTGGCAAAGACCCACTACCTTCACCCCATCCCCACCAACCCCGAGGCCAGAACTCCCAAAGACAGGTGTGCCCTGCATGGAAATCTCGTGGCCCAAATTCCTATTGACCTTACTGTTTATTCCCTTCCCATACTATATGCAACTGTGATGTTCCCAAAGGAGGACAATTCCTCTATGGTAATAGACCAACCAGGGGGCCAAATATTTTTCTTAGACTTTCTTAATATATATAATATTTTTAAAACAATGATTTGCATGTACCTTATTACTTCCTTTATAAAACATGCCCTAGAATAGAAATACTAAAAGATTGAAATGAAAATGAAGTATATTTAAAAAATTATACTTCTCAGTTAAAGTGATTGGCTTTCATAACTGGAAAAGATACTTGTCAGGAAAAGTAGATTCAAGCAAGGAAATGCATCCTTGATTGCATTTTTTAAATTATGATACTTCTAATCCCATTCACCAGGAAGCAAAGGCTTTTTAAGGAAGTTCAACTAGCGAATTTACACTTTATGTCAATTAGTCCTTTTGGGACTATTGGAAGGTATTGCATTTTATATCTTCAACAAGTGGGTTGAAACCCACAAAGAAGTGTCATTTAGAAGTTTGAAACAGATTTTTAAGATTCTGTTTCTTAGTTTTACAAGCATGCAAAGATTTTATAGGTGAAGCATGTTGTTTTGATAATAAAAAAAGTAATCACAATACTGGAACCATTTCCAGTCAATGCATTTTCAAAACTTTCTCCATAAACATGAGTTTCTCACTCACTGATTGAAGGTGTCATCTTCACCTTGAAGGGACAGATTAAGTGGATTTTTGTTGTTGTTTGATTTTGGTTTTAGAAATAAGTGCTAGATAGTACACTTTTGCCAGACATTTCTCATCATAGAACATTGTAAAATAAAAATGTGTGTCTCCTCTCTGTTAGGTTATCTCTTTTTAAGCCTTTCCCAGGTGATAACAAATGCATCTCTGCAGAACAAAATTTTTCATGGTCATTCTCCCTGTCTTTACTAAAAATTGTAAAGTTTGTAGCAATTAACTGGTTGGTAAAGTTTGTAGCAATTAATATTGTCCAGTGAATGGCATGCATTTTGAAGAAAATGAATAGCTGAACTGTGTGCGGCTTTACCACTAGTTCCTGGAAACATCTCACATACTGCATGTGACAGCTGACTTCCAAGAGTAGTGACCCAGCGAGAGTGCTAGGTCAGTCTGGATGTTAAATACTAGTATTAATAAAGCTTAAATAATTAGTTTGCTGTAGTTAAATACTATTATGAATGTATTCATAAATATTTTCTTCTTGCACACCAGTGCTTTTCTTTGTGCACTCTACTTTGAAAGACTGTGGAGATCGGGGTAGTTTAGCAGGATAGAGTGCCCTGAAGTTAGCTGGCCATTTAAGTAAGTTGCAAGTCTCCGTGTGTGGGGGCGGGGGATGGGGGGCGGTGGAGGATGTTTAGATTGTGCTCAAGACAGACTATCATTAAGGAAATCAGGAAACAGCTAATGATTAATGGAAAGAGCACCAGACTAGGAGTCCAAAGAACTGAGATTGTTTTGGGCCATATTCCTTTCTAGTTTTGTGATTTGCACTTGTAAGGATTAAATAAGATTAAGCATGGACTCTGAAAACTATGGAATGCTGGCCAGGAAAATGAGGATGTCAACGTTAAGAAGTGATATCCTGAGTTGACATAATCCTTTTAACTTTTTCCCACAGAATGCTATTAATAAGTGGCTCCTTTCCTCCGCCCAACATCCTGTGGGATAAGTAGGGCATTAGTTACTATGTTCATCATTTGGTAAGTTCATTTATAAGTAAAGAAACTGTGGCACAGAAAGGTTTTAGGTGATTTGCAGGAAACCCCATAATTCATACCTCTTTTTAGGTGTGAGAAGCAAAGGAAAAAACAGTTTTTATTTGCTATAAGGGATTCTAGAAACTTAGTACTTAATTGAATAGCCGAGGGAGAACCGTGATGCAGAACCTCAGATGGTTCAGGTGAGCTCTAGAGAGGCAACGACTCATTCATGGGTGGACATTCCCCTTTCAAAACAGGTGTATCTTCTAGAGATACGGATTCCAGCGCGCGGTCCTTATCATTCTGGAGTGTTAGAGGACAGGCCTAGTAGAATGGCCTCTAGAGGGATAGTGCCACCATTAATTGGAGATCTTTTATCCCTCTTCAACCTTTATCAGTTGGAAAGATGATGTGGAGAGGCTTGCTTAATTAAAGAAGTGTTTAATCCTAAGGCTTGAGAAAATTTTGTGGTCTATTTTTCAGCGAATTTAGATTTCTCTACTTCTGGGCAGCCAGAATAACTAATATTAAACCTTGTTACATCATTTCACTGTCACACAAGATGTTGTCTTTTGTACTATAATGGTAATATAAAATAAGAATTGTTCACAATCACAATATAAGTTGGTCACAGGGACAGCAAGGAGAATATAGTCAATGATTCTTTAACATCTTACTACACTGATAGATAGTAACCGCACTAGAGGGGGTGAGGATTTAATAATATGGGTAACTGTTGAACCACTGTGTTGTATATTTGAAACCAACAGAAGATTGTATATCAGTGATACTTTAATTAAAAAAAAGAACTGTGCCCAAAAACATGTACAGTGTTTTTATTATGTACATACTGTTCTAAACAAACTGCATGTGCTAACCATTAGATCCTCTCAGCAGCCTTTTGAGATAGTTATTATTATCCCCATTTTCAGATGGGAAGCAGAGGCCCAGAGAGGTAAAATAACTTGCTTGGGGTCACACAGCTGGAAACCCAGGCACCTGGCTCCAGGGTCTGTGCTTAACTGTCAACTGTACTGGCTCTATGTTATAGACACTATGTGAGGCACTGGGGGACAAGATAAAACAAAGAACAATGCCTAGGCAGAACCTTCCCAGAAAGACAGAAGAGGTTCAGGGCTTTCTGAGGAGCAACTGGGGAGGGTGGAGCTGGAAATAGAGGCCCGCAGTTTAACTCCACAGCCCTCCGGAGAGTTATTTTTCCCATGGCATAGTGACCAGCAGGTTTAACCTTAGTGTTCTCGTTCTTTATCTTCCCTCTCAGTATCCCTTGGGACAATACCCCCAGAAATTTGCCCCCTCATCACTTTTGAGGACCTGAATGCACTTCGTGGAGAAGGGCCTTCTCACCTTAACTCCCACTGAGGGGAGGGCTGTTGCCTATGGGGTCACTGTCCACATGTGCACTCCTGCCTCCCAAGGTTAGTACCTTCCTTTCTGTGGGTTACCTTAGAAACCAGCTCTCTCCCATCGACACCCTAGTAGCTGAGCCAAACTGAATAACAGGGAAGGTGCCAAGATAAATTGTAAAGGAAAATGTGTGAAAGGAAACCAGTTTTAGATTGAAGGCTAATATTTTGGGAAGTTGGGTGTGTATGTGTTTTATTTTTTTCCCCTCTGAATAAGAAAAAGTTCCCAGGATCAAATGTGAGACACAAAAAAGGTGAGATGCCAAGGGGAAGATAATAAAAAACTGCCTGAAGCCTGTTTTAAAAACTGAAAATGTCCTTTAAATTAGAAAAAAATTGACATATAATCGATTACACATATTTGAAGTGTATGCTCCGTAAGTTTTGACACTTATGTGGACATGAAACCATCACCATCACAATCAAGATAATGAATGTATTTATTACCTCAAAGTTTACTTTTGTTCTTGCTAATTCTTT